CCACCAAGCCCGCAGCCAACACCACCCCTGAAGAGAACCAACCCGCAGCTACACCACCGAAGCAAACTATTGTTCTTCCCTATATCGGTCAAGCCTCTCACAAGATTCAACGTATCCTTCAAGCAGTAGACATCCAAGTTCGACACAGTTCCTCCAACAAACTCCATTCGATACTCCACTCCCACAAAGACAAGCATCAAAACCACAAGAAAGCTGAAGTCTACAAAATACCATGCGAATGTGAAAAAGTGTACATTGTTGAAACGGGGAGAAATCTGGAAACAAGACTCAAGGAGCACAGAACCAGCTGCAGACTCAGCGATTGGGATAAGTCCGCAAACACGCCCAGCAACACGAACACGTCGAATGGGATAACAGTCATCTTATCTCCATAATGAAGCACTGGCATACACGCCGCGAATCCGAGAAGCCATCGAAATTCACCGCCACAACACCGTGCCCCAAGATTCAGGACTATACATCAACGACATCTGGAAACCCCTCATCAACAAGTACCCGGTCACTCCTCCTCCACCACCGCCTCCAGCACCGCCCTCACCACCCCGACAGACACCCGTACATCAACCACCGCCACCCGCCGAACCCCCAAAGCAGCCGCCAGCCTCACAGCTACAATACACAGCAGACGACAACAGACTACAACGCCGCCTACGTCGGGGACACACACAGCGTCTCGCCGACAGCACACCCCACTCATCGACTCCAAAATCTCCTAAGTCCGCAACTCGAAAACTCCAGCCCAGACGGACAGTCAGACGTACCAGCCGACCAAGTAAGATTACTGAGTCAGAGTCCTTTTCAGGACTCCTCAACACTCTCTCTCTCTCCCTCTCTCTCTCTCTCTCTCTCTCTCACACATGGTGCACCCGCGTATCTACTGTATATCTACATCACCATGCAAGCCGACACTTACAAGCAGCATCTAACATGTATCAATAATCAACAACTCAATTGTACAGTCAGTGTATGAAACATAGCACGAACTTCTTCTAACATATTGGACTAAATATTGATAAAGTCACCACCAAAAATTTGCGTTGTATCTTTAAATGAGACATTGTGATAAACAGACTGAAAAATATCACTGAGTTACTTTAGAGCATTAATAAAATGAATTCAACAAAAAATACAAGTACATAATACATATCATATCCTTTTATAACTGTATCCTCAACCTCAAGCTTGGAGATTTACATAATTCATGGATGAGAAAATATGTTTGCGAATGAGCTTGTGATTAGGATTGAAAATTCACTGTTCAATGGCACATGACAGTCAGTTCCTGTGAACAGAATTTGTATTTGTTGTCTAAAAGTTAAACTACAAAATGCGATCAAAAATGTAAGGATTATGCAATCTACCATAAACACTGATGCTTAAACAACACCAACTTCAACAATTGCTTGCGGATAACTGGTCCACTGATTTTTTCAGTCTGCTGTTTTGCCAGATGATGCATGCGGATTTGAGAAAAGCTGCAGCTATTCCCTTTACTAGGAGAAATACATGATTACAGTCTGCTGGCGAGTCAAACATGTGATCAGACAACGAAGAAAAGATACTGCCATGACCAACTTCTTCAAGAACTGCTGTGCAAAAAGCATGCGGGAGGCCATGTGATTATGGGAGATTACCACTGGTTACTTTCAAAAGTCGCTGCAGGCATCTCTCTGCTGTGTCACCCACCTTTATGACATCTGGCGCAGGCCTCACAAGCCCTCCTCTATCTTTCTTTTCAAGAAAGCTGCCCTTCATGAGTTCACCAGTTGTGAGGGCCTCGGCACACTCTTCGCATTTCAACTGCCTCCGTATCATTCTAACTGTGTATCCTGCTATGTAAGGAATTACTGCCATCTTGTAGGCTGATAGTTCACTGAAGTTTGGGATGTCGGCATAGTCATGATCAGTAGCAGTAGGACGTCTAACTGACAGGTCATACTTTAGGATAAGGTGCAAGTCATTATCCGTATCGCTAGAGTCTCTAACCTTGTTTTGGTGACTGGATACATGCAGGATAGTTGTGCTATCCTGTGCAATGCAGTTCCCTCCAACTCCCTTTATTTCATGTCAGATGATCATTTTCTTGTAGGAGTTAGTGAATTCGCGAGCTGTGGGATTATTATTGGCTCCTAGCGATGATCTCATCGCACAAAAGAACAACTCCAGGTGGTCTTGACTCATCTTGTAAGTAAGTACTTCAGCTTGGGACTTTCTGCTGCTACCAAATGATCATACATGAAGATTGCACTCTTGATGCCAATCAGAAAGCCAAGGAATGGGGTCTTGCGTGGTGTGAGGTACATGAGTTTGCCATGAGCATCTGTGATGGAGCTGAGGTAGCTGTATTTTGCATCTGTCATGAATGGTCTCCAGAAGTGTTCATTTTGTGGACGAAGAGGAGCTTTGAAGTTGCGTGCTAATTAATGGATTCCGTGAGTTCAGTACATCGAAGAGATAATCTACTTTCATAATGAACCGTGCTGTGGCACTGCAGCCCTTGAACTGACGAAGTCCCTGCTCCTCAAGAAATTCTAGAGCATCAGCGACACTCCTGCTCAGAGTTTGAGCGGCAATGTTTACTTTCATTTTCTGTTTTTGCCACTGGATGTGGGCACTCATTATTGTTGCCTAATCGCAAGCCTTCATCTTCCTGCAGTTTATGCAGCTCCTTCACAGTCCCACTTGATAGACTTCCCCTCGTCATCCTTCAAGATCCCATTTGATGCCAGGGCGTTTCTCATTAGTTTGAGCATGTGACAGATACCTAGAAAGACACTGACACGGTGATCTGGGTTGAGTGGGTGGGGGAATGAGGGAACAAGGTCAGGCACTTTCATCGATGCTCCTAATGTTTCCGACATTTTCACGTGACATGATGGCCCATCACAAGTCAGAGATTCGATGAAGATTCCAATATCTGCAAGCTTACTCAGGCCCTGCTGAACGAGATTTGCACGGTCAACTCCTGTCATGCTCTTTATTAATTTAGTGGTACCACCATAAAGACAAGAGCTTCTGTTGCAACTGGATTTTTGTCATCCTCACATTCTGTTCCGACATCAACGTAACCATGGAATCTGGTACCATATCCCACTGAATATGCTTCTTTAATGACATCTCATCCAGCATCAGGGCACACACAAGTTCATGTCCATTTGCCTTTGCCTCCTTAGCCTTACGTTCAAGTGTACAGAATGCCTCCGCTATAAATCCTGGTTTACCGGCTATACCATTTCCGGATGACAGATGGGTGGGGTAATTGGAGGTCAAATGTCTTGCAAACCTATATGCCTTTGCAGAGTAGAAGTTTAAGGTCAGGGCAAAAGCTCGCATTGAAGGAAATACTTTTCCTTGGACGTTACATCTTTGCTCTTTGACTTGACACATCTCTTCATTATTTCTGCTGGCATATCACACGTCTTTTTTAACATTTCAAACCCCTGTTCTGTCAGATAATTCTTCTCCTTCAGTGTCTTCACAACTTCCTGTAGAGAAACAACCCTTTTCTTCAGTGTCCGTGCTTTGGCTTGAGTTGTCTTAAGTCGTTTTTTCATGGAGGACAGCTTGTCATACGCCTTGTCTAGCTTCCGCTTCACACTTCTTGGGCTTTCTTGGATGGATTATGTATGATCTTGTTCTGCACGACATCTATTTCGAGGAGTTTAGGGGACTGCATTCACCATGGACACACTGACGTCTTCAAGTGGTTTGGGTCTGACCGGTGTACTGCATTCGTGTCCACGATATGCCAGCTCCTTACTTGAACACTCTCCAGAGCGAAAGTTGGAGTCATTTTTCTGTTAAGGATTGTGGTTGAACCCGTGGGAATAAAGCCTTGCGCTCCTAGGACCAAAATCCAGTTGAAACCAATTTTAGCAAAACCAACTGAAACCAGTTGCCAACTGGTTGCCACCAGTTGCCAACTGGAACAACTGGTTCCAACTGGTTCCAGTTGCCTAATTGGTTTCAACTGGAACCAGTTGAAACTTACAGTTGGCATACACTTAATTAGTGCACTAATTATCGCTCATGTCAACACAGAAGCATTGTATATGTCAACATTAAATACAATGTAAAGGGCATTATAATATGCAGACCATTTCATATAATATACTTAGCAAGGAAATAGGCCTATATGTTTGTATTTGATGTATTTTGTCTATGGTTAGTGTTTTACTAATTGTTTTGATAGCTGTTGGCCTAGGGTTGATTCACTCAAATCCAACTAAACTAGTACAATACAAGACAGGGACTACATCGTGTTCATGTGTCTAAACCAAAACTGATGAGTCTTAAAACTCTTTATTACGTCACAATCTTTCGTGCGCGCTTACAGTGTAGCTGCTCCTAATGGATATTTATACATATTCTTACATTCTCCCTTTTTTGTAAAAGATGTGGAGTGACATCATTATTTAAAGGATATAACCATATTACTGTCATGGATACACAAAACAAATAATTGTGGTTATTGAAATTTCTGTCTTAGTGCAATCTTTAACTTTAACATATCAAAATCATAGAGCATGGAATATATAGTCGAATGTTGAACTAGAACATGACTTTGGTGTACAAATAAGATTAAATAGCTCGAAATACAATCTTTGCTATGTAGTATATCAGTTGTAACCAGTTTGATGATTGAAATATCAACAAATTAAATGCTTTTTTTTCTTCATTTTGTTTTGTTTTTCTAACACAACACTAGAGTACTTATTTACAGCTGTCTATTATACATAATATAAGCATAACACTTTTCAAACTAACAAACTCAATCTGATCAAACTCTCTTGGGAGTGAAATCTTAGCAAAATAAAACATTATCAGGATATTTTGACTTAAATTCTTGATCATACTAAAATGTTCCGCAAAACTTTGGCTAGACATCTTTGTCAATCAAATAATTTCAACACATATGTATATTAACTTGCATTAGTTTTCAACAAAATCACAGAATCATCTTTTTCGCTTCAAACATCTTACTTGTCAACATAGTCACCAAATCTTTGGGGTGGCTTGCTTACTCTACCAGATCTGGTCTTTAGGAAAGACTGAGTGTCATTTTTGTCTACCTGTTCTGTTCGAGTATTTTGTGTTCTCTGAGGTTTGTTTTCTTTCACGTGATTTTGAGTACTTTGAGGGTGTTTAGTCATGACAGTGTTAGATGGTAGATACGCCTCTTTCCTTTCAGTCCCATGAGCACGTGGTTGTGGCTGTGGCTTCTCAGAAATTGTTTTCTGTTGATCTTCCTCAGTGTTTGGTGGGGGTTCTTCAGTTCTCTTGAGGTCGACCCTGTTTCTTCTGAGGAGTAATCCAGAGTCGGTCTCCACCTCGTAGGACCTCTCGTCGAGCCGTCTATTTACCACTGCTCTTTGCCAAACTGTGCTTCCTGATTTGTATGGCTTGAGACGTACGATATCTCCTTCTACTAAGGTCGGCAGATCTTTGGCATGTAAGTTGTAGCGTTCCGACTGCTTACGTTGTAGCATTTTAAGCTTTTTCCTGTCTTCACTGAGAACCTCTGCACCTCTTGGTTTCAGGAGACTGGATGAAGTGGGAAGTAGTGTTCTCGTCCTCCGTCCATGAAGCCTTTGCGCTGGGCTACTGTCAACACCTTGGTTTGGGGTATTTCGGAGTTCTAGCATTGCTAGGTAGGCGTCACCCTTAGACTGTGATGTTTTCTTGAGGAGTCTCTTTGCAGCCTTCACTGCAGCTTCTACCTTCCCATTTGCCTGGCTGTGTCTTGGGGAGATTGTGACGTGATCAAACTGCCATCTTTTAGAGAACTTCGCGAAATCTTCGGATGAGTACTGTGGTCCATTGTCACTGATTACAGTGCTCGGGATGCCATATCGAGCGAAGTGGCTCTTCAGTTTCCCGATTACTGCCCGACTGGCAAGGTCATACAGTCTGTCGATTTCCCAGAAGTTGGAAAGGTAGTCGACGGTAACGAGGTAGTGTTTCTTGTTAAGTTCGAACAGGTCGGTACCTACTTTCTCCCATGGCCTGTCTGGGATGTCGTGTGGCATGAGGGTTTCCTTCTGGTTCTGCTGCTCGTACATTCTGCAGGCTTCACATGTCTGGATAAACTGCTTGACATCCGCGTTCATCCCAGGCCAATAGATGATTTCTCTGGCCCTTCTAAGGGTCCCTTCAATTCCAAGATGAGAAGTGTGAAGAGTTTCCTTCATTTCCTTGCGGAGGGTTATGGGGATGACTACTCTTTCTCCCCTGAATACTAGTCCATCTTGCACGCTTAGCTCGTCTCGGATATTGAAGTATGACTTAGCCGCTTCGGGTACTTCTGCTTTTTGTTCCGGCCAACCTTTGTGGATGACCTTCTTGACGGTCTGTAGAACCTCATCATTGTTAGTATGAGATTGCAGTTGTTTAACCCTCTCCTCTCCCATACTCAGGGTTTCAACGATGTTCACCTCACCAAATTCAGTGGCTCCTACAGTGGTGGGTAGGTAAGCTCTTGACAGCATGTCAGCCAGATGCATGTCCTGTCCCTTTACCCAGGTGATGTCGATGTCGTAGTGCAACATCCTCATTAACATTCCTTGAAGGCGTCTTGGTGCCTTATGGAGAGGTTTCTTGACGATCGCCTGTAAAGGTTTATGGTCACTCTCGACTATGACCCTTTGTCCAAAGGTATATTGGTGGAATCGTTCGAGAGCGAAACATATGGCAAGTGCCTCTTTCTCGATCTGGGCGTACCTCTGTTCAGTTGCTGTTAGAGCTCTGCTAACGTAGGACAACGGTTGTCCCTTCTGGAGAAGTACTGCTCCGAGCCCTGACTTGCTTGCATCACACTGGATGGTCAGTGGTAGGTCTGGTGAGTAATATGCTAGGACAGGTGCCCTGGTCAAAGATTCCTTCACTCTTGACATTGCCCTCTCGTGCTCTGATGTCCATTCCCAATCGGCATCCTTATGTGTTAGTCGTCTCAACGGCTCAAACATATCGGACAGCATAGGTAGAAACCTTGCGAGGTAGTTGACGCTGCCTTGTAGGCGTTGCACTTCCGTAGGGTCAGAAGGGTTGGGCATCACTAGAATTGCTTTGACCTTTTCAGGATCTACCTTCAGTCCCTTGTCTGTCACTATGTGTCCTAGAAATGGAATGCTTGTAGCCTTCCGCACAGATTTCTTCTGGTTGAGTTTGATACCTTTATCTCTGCATCTCTGGAGCAGAGCTTCTAGCTTACGATCATGGTCCTTCTCTGCTTGCTCTCTGTTGTCTCCAACACCAAACAGGATAATGTCGTCAGCAACACACACTCAATTCCATCAAGGCCATCCAAAGCCTGTTGTAGCTTCTTTTGGAATATTTCCGCTGACGCATTCAGACCAAAGGGTAGTCTTTTCCATCTATATCTCCCGAACGGGGTGTTCATTGTTGTAAGGAAGCTACTCTCATCATCAAGCTCACAGTGGAGGTAGCCTGATCTCAAATCAAACTTGGAAAAGATCTTAGCCTTTGACAGCTCCGGGAGAATGTCTTCCATGACTGGCAATCTGTGTATTTCCCTTTGCAAGGCTTTGTTGAGGGGTCTTGGGTCAATGCAAAACCTCAATTCATTCTTGTCTTTCTTCTCAATAACGACCAGTCTGCTACACCATGGGGTTGGTTCCTCAACCTTTATCAAGATGTCTTGGTCAACCAATTTAGCAAGTCCATCCTTGACTCTCTGCTTCATTGCAACTGGTACTGGTTTGGCGTTACACTGTGTTGGGGTCACTTCTTCCCTGGTCACCAACTTGACCTTGCCAGGTAGTTTTCCAGGAGTTTGCTCGTCAAAGATGTCACTGAAACTCTCTAAGATGTTTTCAGGGCTTACAGCACAGACCTGGTTGAAGTTCTCATAATGTACAGTTATGAATTTCATCTGTTGTGCAGCTGGACCGCTCAGGAGTGGTACTAAGTTCTCCTTAACAACGATGAAGTTGACTCTGTACTTCTTGCTGTTCTTAGTGTTACGCAACACGACCTTAGCCCGACCTTCTGCTTGAAGACGAGAACGGTTGTACATCTTCAGTATGATGTTCTCTTTGACTATGTCTTCTGCACTCGGGACAAGGCTCTTTGAAATAACATTCACACTCGCACCTTAGTCAATCTGGAAGTTAGCTGGCCTGTTCTCAACCAACATCTCCGCAAACAGTCCTTTAGATGGTTTGGTGCCTGTAGCGAACACCTCTATCTCTATATGGTTCACAGATTCCGTTTCCGACTCTGTCTGGTTCTCTGCTGAATCCTCAGACTCTACGTTATGGATCTCCTTCTTGTACTTTGATCCCTTCTTACAGCATATGGCGAAGTGGTTTTCTTTCCCACATTTCTTGCACATCTTCCCATAGGCGGGGCACTCTTCCTTTTTGCGTCTATGAGTATTTCCGCAGAACTTGCACTTTATGAGATTCTCTCCTTCTGGCTGTCGCCTTGGACTCTTCGTCCACTGCTTTCTTTCATGTGACTTTTCTACCCTGTGGATAGAAGGATCATCTCCAATGACCTGCATTTGGGGGCAGTGACTTCAGAAGAACGGCAAATGTCTATAGCTGTCTCCAACTTCAAGTCTTTCCTTTGGAGGAGGATTTTCAGTGTTTACAGGTTTTAGCGAGCTGTTTCAACTCTGTCACATATGCTTCGATGCTTTCACCTTGTTTCTGGTCCCGCTTGTTGAATATGAATCTCTCATATATCTCATTGGTTTGTCCGATGATGACAGAATTCATCTTCTGGATAATGACATCGACTTTCTTGTCATCTCCATCTCTTTCAAAAGTAATAGCATTGAAGATTTTTAGACCTTCAGGACCTACTGTATGGAGAAATACAGCTCTTTGGTACTCACTGTCTTGTTGCTTTAACTTAGTGATAACCTCATAATTTTCATACATTTGTTTAAACATCTTCCACTCTTCCACCCTATCTTCTTTATGCCTTAGGGGTGGCGGTGGTGCAATATGAAAGGGAAGTTGAGCTTCAGCCATGTTTGTAAATGTGTACAATCCAATCTGTTACATGTAATGTCACTGAACCTGGTTCTGTCCTAGACAAAAAGTACCATGCATGCAGAGTTACTACAACAAATATAATGCATTGGACCAATACTTAAAATCAGCACATAAACAGAAAGAATGCGCTTGTATACTATCAATACTGGCAATCAGTATGGTACACGCAATGTCCATACAACTCTTGAACCAAGACTATGTAGTTTCACACCAATAGGTCACATTACAGGGATCTACTAAAGTAATGACAAGAACGTCCCTGCCTAGGCCATCTAGAATACTAATGTGTCATGAACTTAGATACCATCAATATTATTGAATACACATGACATTATCATGAGACCTCCTCGTGAACTCTTACAATTCAGATTTTAAGTATATCTCACTTCTATACATGACTAACTTCTAACAGAAGACAATGGTCAAACTAGCTAGATCTAAATGTAGATCTGTATTACTATTACTAATAATACTAGTCAGAACTCAGATGGGTACCATGGAATCCCCAATTGGTTGAATATATCATACAACTTACAAGTATAGCTCTCAAACCTATAAAGTACAGAACAAGGGTTAGGCATATTGCTTATCAACAATAATCAAATTCAAAACAATTCCACACTTGACCCTCCTTACATTCAGCTCAGTCTTATAATATTAATAGCTGATTGTTGTCCAGTCCAGTAGGCCTATATAATTATAATTAACTGTTCAATCTCTTCGAAGTATACTGAAGCTATATGTCCTGAATATCAGTTCCAACTCAATCCGAGGTAGATATGGACCTATCGGCGATCGTTAAAGCTCAGTTTCTAGACTAGATCTAGATCTGATATTGATCAATCATCAAGTCCCTTTTCCTTGTGAAGACAACACATCTGGAATAGATTCTGGATACACCTTGTCGTCGTAGTGTAGATCTGGCAGTGATACTGGAGTCCAAAGAAGTCTGCACATCAAGAAAGGCTCACTCAGTGACTGACGTTACAAAAGTTGCGCAGTAGTTCCAGTTAATAACACAGTCTCATAATGTAGGTCTAACTTGTTACATGTAGGTCTACAAAGTCAAGTATGCTCCCATCGCGTGAAGTTACTTTTCTGCTTCACTGCTGCAGTGCTGGGCTCACCTGTAGTCTAGTCTCGGAGGGTGCTTATACCATGTCCATGTCCGCACGGACACACACAAATACACTGTAGATCTAGGTCCTATCTAGACCAGAGTCGATCTAGACTAGCTTATTGTGATCCAATAACGATAAACTCCAATCAAGAGTTCGATTACACACATCATCGCACGACGACGTCGAAGTGGTTCCAGGTCCACATGCACGCGACACATAAAAGTTCTTTCTCGTGCACCGGAATACGGATTCACAGAAGACACACACATGTAGTACAGAATATACACGACGACGCACTATAGTACATACCGCACCGCACTGCGTTGAAGTCGCCAAACTCAGTTCTCGGTCATCAACAATTCTGTCTCACAAAGCATGTCCAAAATCCGCTATCACTACAGTGATCAGACTCAAGATCATTTCAACGGCAAAAAAATATCTATCCGCCGCTGCCACCATGTTTTGATAGCTGTTGGCCTAGGGTTGATTCACTCAAATCCAACTAAACTAGTACAATACAAGACAGGGACTACATCGTGTTCATGTGTCTAAACCAAAACTGATGAGTCTTAAAACTCTTTATTACGTCACAATCTTTCGTGCGCGCTTACAGTGTAGCTGCTCCTAATGGATATTTATACATATTCTTACACTAATCAACTTTTAATCTATTGTAATTAACAAAATGTGTTATTTGTGAACATGCTTATCATTGCTAATTAATCTTTATATGTAACTAAAACAAATGCATTACTTGCAAATGGAAATTGATTAATAAATACGTTGTAAATCAAAATAAATTGCATAAAACATTGATTTGCACACACGCAGATAATATGCAAATTAACCGGTTTCAATCGGATCTAGTTCATGTAGTTGGGTAACTGGAAATGAATTCTAACTGAAACCAGTTGGATAACTGGAAATGAATTCTAACTGGAACCAGTTGGGTAACTGGAAATGACTTCTAACTGGAACCAGTTGGGTAACTGGAAATGAATTCTAACTGGAACCAGTTGGGTAACTGGAAATGAGTTCTAACTGGAACCAGTTGGGTAACTGGAAATGAATTCTAACTGAAACCAATTGGGTTTTTATAGAGAGGTGCCACTAAGACAGGTCAGACTGTAGAACCTTTACCCTTGTATGAACCCTGATGAAATGTCCAGCTTTCTCATTCCTACGTTCCTAGATAAGAGGCACCACTGCTAACACACTCTATGAGACGTTGAAGGTCTATGATGACCTCGTGGATGAGGAGAAGCAGAAGGAGGTCATGACGATACTCATGGAAACAAACTGGTCAGTATCAATTCAGTAGTCAACTCCAGTGTCTATTCCACTGTATTAAAGATAAAGTTGAGTTCTGGTCATGCGATTGCAATATGAAAGAAAAGGTGTGGAATGGATCAGAAAAAGTTGATCATGTAGCATTAGTGTGAAATGCAAGGTTCTGGAGTCATCAAAAACATAATAAATTTGGCTCAGTCTTGGTAATGTAACAAGCACTGTACACAGAAAGATGTATACCGGTATGGGTCTACACAAATGGTGTCAGGCATACTTATATTACCTTGATTGTTTTATCTTTCTATCGTCATTACTCTACCAAAATTGTTCAAATGATATTTATTCGTAATCTTGAACATTCAGTGTAAGTTTTGTTTGATTCTGTGAGAATTCATTTTTTTAAAAACCAGAACTCAAGTTTATCTTTAAAGCCCCACTGCACTAGTTTGGCCAGGAGGGATTAGACCGCCCTGCATGGTTACTGACAGCGGTTATCTCATCAAATCATCTCTCAGTCAATATAAGAAACAGGGGATCATGGTGGAATTAATGGTCACCGATGAGGCGTGTTTGCTATATACAGGGTGAAAGTAGCTGTAAGTAGTACAGTGGGGCTTTAATGATCAAGTGTGTCAGTAGCATACTGTTAGAAAGGCTATAAATAATGGATGGATGGGTTCAATGAGAAAAACACCTCTACCAGAAGTTTAGTCGAACCAGACTCGTTTCATTACTCGATATGAGCACTTGGAAAGGGCTGTGCCCCCTTTGATAAACAGTCATGATGTTGTAGGTTTTAAACCTAGTCTGACATTTTTATACCTTTAGTAGACTTGTTTGTTTGTTTGATTTTTGTTTTACCTGACTGTTAAAGAAAGCAGCATATGCTTGTAAGTAAAAAAAAAAGACCCAGGGGACCGATGACTTTAAGTCCTTTTCGAAGGACTTGCTTATGAGGATTAATGCCTTTGGCTTTGAACTTGGTTACAAGACCACTGCTCTACCACTGAGCCATCGTACCTTGAAACAAACGCAAGTTGATGTACATTTTGAAAGCCTTTGATTTATCCACAAAACTCTCACTGTATTTTATCTACAGTTGTCTCTCCTTGTCTAAGACTGGTGAATGAGTAGTGCGGGGCGGATCTAGCATTTTGCTGGGGGGAGGGGGGGGGGGGGGGGGGGGGTTTGACCCAGTGGCGGATCCAGGATTTTCCAAAAACCAATATTTCGCTGAGTGGGGGGGGGGGGGGGTGGGGTGGGGTAGTGAGCAATTAATTTTTTTCCTTCAATTTGCCCCCCCCCCCGAAATTTGAAAAAAGTGCTGATCAATATTTTTTTTGGGGGGGGGGAGGGGGTAGAAAGCACTACAACAAATATTATTTTGCCCCCCCCCCCCGACATTAACAAAATATTATGTTTTACTTTTTTTTTATTATTTTTATTTATTTATTTGGCAAGCCCAAGAGGAGTTTAAACCCCCTAACCCCCCCCCCCTAGATCCGCCCCTGGTATCTGGAATGCCTTCCATGCTCCATCTGACACTTAGTCTACCCAAGGAAAGGATGAGAGTTGTGTACTCCAATGATTGTGAAAGTTGGTATGTTGATTGGTTTACCAAATTACACGGATACTGCCTGTCAGATATGAATAGAGGACGTACCACGTCAAAAAGCGTTTTTCACTTTTGTGAACCTGTCTTTATTGCATGTATTGAAAGTATACTTTTTTGTGTTTTGTTCCCAACAGGCAAGAATCGCAGGCCAAATGTAGACCAGTCAGGAACCACATCTGTGACTTGATGGAAGTGCCCCAGCCTGTTCTCAAGGTATGCCGTACAAACCTTGAGAATGATAGAAGACAACTTTAGAAAATTACCAGATAATTTTTTTATAAGCACTAACCGATGACTTGGTCACATTAAGAATGAAAGATATAAAGGCCAAGATTTTGAAGCATATCCACAATTATTTTTCCACGGAAAAAGAAAAAGAAAAAGAAAAAAAAAAATCATTTTGGGCATTTCCTCATTCCTGATACATACAGTATCTATCCTCATCCATGTTCCCTATGAAAATCGTTTGTAAATGAGGAGTTATATCAAATAGAAGAAAAATGCAGTAAAAAAAAATTATATAATAAAACTTTTGTAAAAAAATTATATGTCTATTTTAAAGATATAGACATAAAAAAAGAAATGTTCAGGAGATTTCTTTTCAGTACATAACAAGTACATTTTGGTAATAAACCTTTGTTGATATCACATAAACAAACTGACAATTGTTATCATACTGCTTGTAGTATTAATGTTAGTGTTATGATTATTCCTTAAATTGTTATTTTCTTGATCATTTTCTGTTACCACAGAACCCCCAGGCTGGTAAAGCTAAGAAGCAAGAGGATGCCAATGACCAGATGGACAGTTATCAAGGTACTTGGTTCATTTACTTTCAAACGTTCTTTATTTCAATTGCTCTGTGTATTGTTTCATGCTTAAGAAATGCTGTACAAAGTAATATGTCCCTACCGCAAATATGTTTGACAATAGATGGTAACCTTCCTCCTACACTGCGAAGGTCAGCATATGGGCAGATTCGATACTGGGTAGACGACGAGAGAAGGTATCTTCTGGCTTCCATAGACAATGTAGAGCAGTGTCAACTAATTCCTTATATTACTGATAATTTTTCAGGTTTCATGAACTCTCCCGATTATTTGATGAGATCTACAGTTAACTACTGAATTATTCATACCCTTACCAAGTTTTGTAATTTGTTAAGATTGTGGAATATTTCAGCTTACATGTAACAGTATTCAACAAAGGCCATAATTCAACCAGTCCACCTTTCATTCTTGAGTAACGAAAAAACAAGGGGTATGTAGGCACCATCATAATCTGTTACTTATAGCTTATTGGTTCTGAAACTATAATTTCTATCAGACTTTCCAGTTCTCTACTCATTTTATTTGTATAGGAACCAGAAATGCCTTTGCCAAAATATACCTATGGCTGTTGCTGCCCTCTATGGCCAAATATGGTAGTTGTGGTAACAAGAATTGGCAGTTCATTGGGTAATACAGTGTATCAGGAAAAAGTGGAATCAGTGCTTGGAAGTATTGCAGGCTAATGGTTAAACAATTATATTTGGTAACATATTTGATATTGTTTCTTTTTCTCTTCCTCTTTTTGGTTTGATATTGCAGATCTCGTGTCAAGATTGGGATACTGAGGAGCAGTCTTCTGATGCCCATTACCGCTGATGAGTCATCAGAATATAATTACAATATTTTCCTGTATCGAAAAATATAAGAAATGTGTAAATGATAAAAGTATTCTTGCATTTAAATTAGCAATTTAATGCCCTGAAATCTAATTACAATGTGGTTATTAATATAGAAGGTTTCATATGACCTGCCCAATCTTTTATGATTAAATGAAAAAAAACCCTGCGTAAGCTAGATGACTTGTGGAAGTCATCCAGTAGACCAATAGTCCATGAGACTGATGGAAACCAACAGTCTGTGAGATTGACAATGTCGGTCTTATCAGCTTTCCAACATGTTGTCAGGTATTTAAAACCTTCCTGTTGAAGTAGTGGACTATTGACTGTCGGTTTTGTGGGATGTAGCCGTGGAAGCAATTTACCAGAAACAAATAAAATGTAACCGTGCCATAAGGAATAACATATCTTTAACTTTGTCCATGTTCAAGTATTTCAAAATCTTTGTAATCATGTATTGCAAGGCATTATGCTGCATTCATATTGACAAGGTAACCCAGGCCTAACCTGGGTCAGATAATTTGGTCTGATGCAAGTGAGTTCAGTTGAAATAGTCAGTCTTGCGCAAAAGTAGTCCTGGCATCTGGCATTGTATGTGCATGTCTCTTGGTATAACAGTGGATAAAATGACTGGTCAACATTCCATACAAGTTCAAAAGATAAGTTTTCTGGCTATCATTCTGCTGTAAGTATGTTATAAACTGTTATTGTCCATTTTGTTGAATCTTTCGGCCTTGTTTGTATTATGCATGGATTGCTGTAATGTTATACAGATCAAGTCCACATAAGTTTAGTACAAGCATGAACTAGATTTATAAGCATTTTAGGTGAGCCATGTTAGTTTTGTTCTTCAGAGTACATGCAAACAAATTAAATTTTCTCAATAACAAATATTGAAAATTAAAAAGTAGACCATTTGAAGTAAAACTGCCTACTGTTCTTTTGGAAAAACCAGAATTTGGAAACAAGGGTGTCTGCAAATTCGTTATCTGCATCCAAGACCCTAAGCCAAAATACAAGGGCATAAGGGTGGAAAAACACATGTGCATAAAATATAACTTACACTGTCCATGTTTTTCTATATATGAAATTGCTTTAAAATGACTGTTCCTTTGTTGTGCTGTGTGTGATGTACAGAAATAATTTCCTTGGAACTAATGTTGTTTAAAGTTTACAAATAAGTATGCCTGTAATTTGTTTTCTTTCTAAAGCATATTGTTCTAAATGTACATAGGTTTTTTTTTTAAATCAAATTTATATTTATTTGATGTGAAGAGTTTCTATCAAACTATTTGTACATGCTTAATTTTTCATGCTTGAAGTTTTCTCTTTTTCATATATCGTGTTTGTTTTGATAGCCCATGCAGTGTAGAGGTAGGTTATATTTTGTAACTCGTCTGCTCTAATCCACTGATAAGTTGACACAATTATAAAGTTCTTTGTTCATTGTCTGCAAGTAGAGATTAAACACCTATAATGGTATAATTGTTCTCAGGCTAATAGTAACAACTGATAATGATAGGGACAACAATCCTTCTCTAGCAATAATAGCCATACCAAGTGAGAACTGAGGAATGTTTTTCTCCTTGTGTGCTCCATTATTGGATTTTCATTCTTATTGGTTATTTTGAATCGTGATTCACATTCTGAATTTGATCATTCCTCTGTTTGCTTTATGTAACGTACAATATTAGTCCAAAAGGAAATGTTAACACTACCCAATCCATCCTGACTACCATCATTTATCCACAAATATTCGGCCAGTTCTCCCTTTCACCTGGTTCCAGAGATCTAATCATCTTAATACAAAGCGTGCTATTAAATCCTTTGGTCTGACCATTTCCTTACAGATGATACAGAGTTGTCCTTGACTAATTCCAGCCAATGAATAAGATTGCCAGGCGTTCATTTTTTACAAGATGTAGGAGATGGATTCGGGAGTGACATGAGACGGATACATAGATAATAGAGTGAGGGAAAGAGAGAGAAAGAGAGAGACAGACAGACACAGACACAGAGAGAGAGAGAGAGAGAGAGAGAGACAGAGAGAGAGACAGAGAGAGGGAGAGAGAGAGAGAGACGGAGAGGGAGAAAAAGGGAGTGAAAGAGAGAGTGGCACCTGAATATCTTAATGACACACTCAAAATTTATACATCAGCTCGATATTCCACTCAACATCTGGCAAATATAAATTAATTAATCCCCAATCCAGAATTGAAAAGCGTTTTCCGTTTTTATCCCACTTTCTATCAGAGAATTAAACCATCTTGCCACTTTCAAATTAAAACATGTCTTCCCTCAGTAATATAACATGATTTACGTATTCTATGAGTTTTATGTTTCTCTTCACAAACTGTTATTTTGTTAGCACTTTTTTTTTAAGTGCTCCAAAATCATAAATATATTATTTTAGTTGTAGTATTTTTGTTACAATTCATTATTATTTCTATAGGCCTATGTACACTTCCTCTTATAATCATTATTATCATCATCATCGAGACTGAAGATAGATTGCAAGGAGAGAAAAAGTGAGAGATAGAGAAGTATTAGAGGAGAGATATCCTATAAAAGATAGAGGGATACAATATTGAGGAGAGTGTAGAATTTAAGGCCTGTTTAATGCGATATAAATGAAAGAGAGAATCTGAAGAGACGAGGAAATACGTACATTGCACTTAAAGGTGCAGCTTTATACATATACTTGGAAAAGCAACAGTAACATATCCGGTCTAACAAGTCAACAGAATTATAGCAAGATCAAAGTTTTGATAGTCAGAACAGAATTTTTTTAAAAATCTTTCATTGTTGAAGTCAAAATGAGGAAGTAATTACTCTGTGGACTGAATTTTTTTTTCAAGATGTGCCTCAAATCAAACTTTCTGCCTGCTAATTAATTAGGTGGTCTGTCAACGACAGATCACCTATTGTTTTCGTCAGAATTTTCTTTCTTTATTAGGTGGTCTGTCAACGACAGATCACCTATTGTTTTCGTCAGAATTTTCTTTCTTTATTAGGTGGTCTGTCAACGACAGATCACCTATTGTTTTCGTCAGAATTTTCTTTCTTTATTATTATTATTATTTATTTTTATTTATTTTCACACTTTTTTGTTAACAGGATAACTCAAGATCAGTTTAGTCAATTTCGTTCAATTTTGGCACAGTCGTAGGTCATTGTCATGAGACGTTAGAGTAACATTTTCAAGGTCATCAAGTTTTCATGACGTCATCCAGGCGCCATTTTGTGTTTTTTTTGGTACTTTTTACTCATGATCATATCTTCATAACGGAAAGGCATTTCTCATTCATATTTATCACGATTAAGGTCAATATCTGTCCGGTCAATGTCAGGTCAGAAAACGCGCGCGCATGCGTACGTCCGCGCGTCACCGCGCGCGCAAAAAATAAAAATGCTCCAAATCGTCTCAAATTTTTTTTGCATACGTTTCAGGCCATTTTAAGCATTTTGCAAAAAACGCGCGCACGCACATGCGCGCGCGTTTTCGCGCGTAATTGCTTTTTCCTACATAGAATCGCCAATTTTTTTCTGTCATCATATTTGACACATTTTTCCAAGCATTTTGATACCTTGTTCACCTTTTTCTGACCATTAATAACGGAATGAGCGTCCGTTTAAGATAATTTCCGTGCGTGCGAGCTCTTGTAATACATAGCATACATGGGCAAAAACATGCCATACAAAATCCATTGTAGCGCTTTAGGATGCAAGGTGACCCCAATTTTTTTTCATATTTTGATTGAGTATGAATTGGAAATATGATTTCATGTCTCATTTGACCCTCAATTAACTCATGACGTCATCATAATGGCCTCCCAACTCAAAATTTCAATTTGCATATTATGACGTCAGTATTTTTCTGGAAAATTGACTGTATCTCTGTAAATATTGATTGATTTTCTTCCAAATTTTGATATGATCTAGCTGAGACAATTTTCTACAAATGCAGTTGCCACAATATTTCATTTTGACAAAGGTATCATGGCGTATTTTTGCGATTAAAGGTGGCATGTCAATTTTTCACATTTTGCGTGTATTCTCTATGGGACATGACTTTTTCTCAAAACTGGATTCTACATCCTGTCTTTTGCGAGCAATATCTCCGTTTTTTTAGCTTTGTTTTCGCTGAGCTTTGAGTATGTTGTAGCTGAGACAATAAGCTATCATAAGTGTGCCCTTTATTTTTTGGTCAGATGCCGGGATCATGCTCATATTTCACTTACAAAGTGGGATTTGTAAATTCTATTTTCCGTTTACGTGTAATCTCTATGGGAAATGTTTTGGTATATCAGTAAGGCACTTGACTTCCGACCTCGAGGTCCCTGGTTCGAGTCCGGGCGTCTCCAACAATTTTTTTTTCTTCACTTTTTTTTCTTTTTGACCTTTCACTCTACCATCTCCTTTGAATATTAAAACACGTACAATCGCAAATAATGTAATAAACAACCATATTTACTTTATTATTACCCTGTTATCACTTGATCCATTACTTTTTGCGTGTAATCCTTATGGGAGATGACTTTTTCTCAAATCTGGATTCTACATTCTTATCTTTTGCGAGCAATATCGCCGTTATTTCGGCTTGGTTTTTGTTGATTTTTGTGTATGTTGTAGCTGAGCCTATATGCTATCTAAATGTCCCCTCATTTTTTCAATCAGATGTCAGGATCACGCTCATGATCATCATCATGGTTATCATTATCATCATCATGACAATCATGATCATGATCAAGTAGTTTATTTTTGTTCTTTATTTTTATTTATTTGCACACTTTTTTGTTAACAGGATAACTCAAGATCAGTTTTTTTTCCATATTTTGATAGAGTATGAAACGGAGATATGATTTCATGTCTTATTTGACTCTCAATTAACTCATGACGTCATCCGAACTCAAAATTTCAATTTGCATATTATGACGTCAGCATATTTTTGAAAATCGATTGTATCTCT